CTCCAAGGCCCTAAACGCACACATAAATGACTCAGTCCTCATCCCAGTGAACTGATTCAATGAGGTGAGGGGATATCAAACAGGGTCGGCACAGCTCAGCCTCAGAGCCTGGCTCCCCAGGCCCTGCAAGCACGAAGCTCCCCCTCTCCGGGATTACAGCACTTCACCAGCTGCAGGAGAGCTCGAGGTGGGGAAGGTCCCCTTAGCTCACCACTCAGCACAAGGGCTTTCCTCTCATGCTAGAAGGGCAGCACTAGTCCACGCTATTCTCCTACCACGGACTAATCTACTTTCCAGCAAGGAGGGCTCAGGCACCAGGGGAGTCTGAACTCTCCCTTTTGGGCCAGAGTAGGAGTAGGGAGAAATTTCTCCAGGGGAAGCAGCAGATCTCATTACTCATTGTGTAGCGGGGCTCGTGAGGGCAGCGACTGAGTGCCAGTTTACAATCTGTTCTGCTCCTCGAGCTGACGACAGCAGCAGCCCACCAAGCAGCTGCACTGCTGTCTGTTCTCGTTAAGGTGCAAAGTATGTTCTTTCAGGCACCATCAACACCTACAAAACGCAGCACCGTGAAAGGAGAAAGTTGAAAAGATTCACGCAATTCAGCTGATTATTGGATTACATCTCAAAGATAGCATCAGTAAGGGCATGTTACGTACCTCAGGGGCTTCTGCTAGTTTTAATAATGCTGAATTATGGTGACCAAAAAATGCTACCATATTCATCCTGCCATTTGCTAATGAGATGTTCCTACACAGGCACAAGATACACTGACAGCTTGTGGATGGAATACTCACCAAACATCAATAGATCTGAAACCTATTCAATAGAAACAATCTATTTGGACTATAATATCCATATTAATGATGATACATGTCTGCATAGGTTAGACAGAGTAAGCAGGTATGGCAACTAGAAAGGAAGTTTATTAACCTCCGCAGCATTTGTTTGCAGATGTAGTTAAAAGTTTAGATAGAAGGTAAAAGGGCATTTTTATATTTTACTTGCAAAAAATTGTTGAAGATAGATAGTAAGAAACTATCCAAAATGTGCTTGCTAGAGTTTGTTTCTTTTAAGTCACCTGGAGTAAGTGACTTCAGAAACATGTAACAACCATATCCTAAGTAGCAGCTCTTTGTATCACTTTGTGAAAATCTTTTGTCATTGATCAAGGATCATTACTATCTATTTAAGCATTTTTGTGTCCATGTGTGATCCACTGACTAGTCACTTTCCACAGTAGTAGACAAGTGTTCAGAATACAGAAACATTCATCATAAATGATACTACCTAACACCCTTGTTGAATTTTTCATAGAGCCTAAGAATGGCCATATTTACATCACCGTTCTAGCTACCATATGGCTTCCTTCCTAGCAGTGACGTATAGCGGTTACTCATGGAAAGAACCTAAGATCCCGAACAAACACAGAATAATCTTCTCTGGGTACAACCTCTTGGCTTCTTGCGATCAGGGGGGGAAAAAAGCACTATATAGAAAACAAATTTGTTTAATGTCCACAAAATAGTTCCCTACAGATAAGGGCAAGTTGGCTAGGGTAGAAGGGGAATGAACTTGAAACACAAAGGATGCCAACCCATTTGCAGCCCTCAGTTTGATTAAAGTGATGAGGTGGGGGTTGTGGTACCTCCACAGTAGTTTTATGCAACATTTCAATCCAAATTATATCCTTAAAGCAAGGCCCAACAGGGAAGTAAGTTTAGGCTGTAAAATGGCAAAAGAAGTTTTACACAGGCTCGAAGGACTGTCAGTTCCAATATTAATTGAAGGGAGATTCTTGTGAAACATCTTAGACAAAAAAAGAAATTGGGGCATTCATCATGAGTCCTCTCAATCTGCCAGGGAAATAATGCCTCTACATATGAAGCACGGTTTCTACCTTAGTAGGAAATTCTTCTTTGCTTTTCAAACCCAACTGAGAACTAAGCACAATATTTCACAAGTGAAAACTGCACTATCTGGACATTCATATTTCCTGGTGAAAACTGAGCAGGAACTTTTAGGAACTTGATCTTTAATTCTTGTATTATTATTATCTGCTGCCCAAAGTTTTGCAAAAAGCAATATCTAAAAGGTGTCATTAAAGTAAATGTATTTCCAGACATAGTAAATACTAAAATCTTGTGTTCCTTGTCCTACTCCTGTTTACATTTGCAAATTGGTTCTATGTCTAGAGGGAAAAAATGGTAGCTCAGATACCACTGTGCAGTAGGTACTGGCAACAATTTCATTTTCCAAAGGCAATCACTCCAGTTTTAAAATATCACAGAAAATTGCCTCCACATCCCTGGTATAAAATCCTTGCCCTCTCCAATATGCCTAATCATAAATTATCTGGTAAGGATTAATCTTTTAGATGCGATGAATGGTGTTGCAGGACCAGTTCGCTAAATCTGCCATAACACACTTGAGAAATAATTGAGATGTCAAGCCTCATCAATATCAACCTACTTAAAGTAAGGACAAGAGGGGAGTGGAAGAATGATAATCAGTAATACCATTATGTGAAGCTAGTTAACTTACAGCTTAGAAACAGATCTGTATCAGTCACGAATCTGAATGTCCTTGAATATTGTGGAAGCCTGACTTACAAGCAGTCTTAATTCTTTAAAAAGCTTCTTTTCATAGAAATAGATTCTCTATTGAGAGAGCAGCAGTCTTTCTCAGCATTTTAACTTCCGAACTTGCACCTTTTCCTCTTGTATGTTCAAGTCTGACTCTAGCTTAACATGCAGGAGGTAAAATAATGAGTTTGGAAAGCATAAAGGAAAGGTCAATAAAATACTATAACGTTCATTCCTCTTTGCTGATACAGAAACTGGACAAAGTCTTAAATAGAAACAGGAAAAGAAAAAAAAAAAACAACCTCTTTATGACCAGGCAGAGGAAGCAGAGTCTCAGATTGCTCAACAGCTCCAAACCTAAGAGAAGGTTTCTGCCAATTTTCAGCACTATGAATTTGTTCTCTGTCTCAGTAATTGGCCATATATGTATGGCATGTGTATGTATCTAATCAATACACATGCATATACACCCCATAGTACTTTCTCATCACAGCTCTCGCCAACGCTGTTGTATCACAGTTGATCATCCACTCGTTTTGAAAACTGATTTTGCAAACAAGTTCATTTCCTGTCCTGTTTCCATTCCTGCCTCGCTTGCTCTTTTTGCATTTCCCTCTCCACCCACTCCTTCCTTTGAGATCCCACTCACACAACGCATCTTCTCACTCTCTTCATCTGCCTCATCAACCATATGCTCACTTCCATCTTTTCCTCCTTGCTGAATAACTCCATAGTCTCTCTAGTCTAGCTCCAAAGTCTTCCTCTAACGTCACTGAAGTGTTCTTTCCTTTTCCTCTTCTGTTCAAAAATGTTAAGTGGAGTGAGTTAATACTCCTTTGGAGTTACTCCTTTTCTATTCTAGGCTTTGAAAGGGAGGAAAAAAAGGAGAGATCCATGACTTAATAATCCTCTGCCTTGACAACTGTAACGTTCTTTATAAACTTCATATTTCCCACTAGTCCTCTTCATTTTATCCAAAATGCCACAGCTGAATGGATCTTCTTTCCCTGATGTGACGCTCTGGCCATTGCATTCCACTTCTTAAATCCTCGCATTAGCTTCGCACCTTCCACAGGATTTCCAGATTCCCCATCCTCAGTGCCACTGCTCTGAGCAGATCCCTCTTCTTGCTTGTCATCCGGCACTATCCTCTGCCGAGCCTTCACCCTGCCAATGATGCCTGTTATCCTACAAGAATGTCCGTCTGTGCCTTCTCCTGTTCAGACACCCTCTGCTTGGAATCAACTCTTGAGGCTGATTACTACTCCATTTCCCTCTTGTCCTCCCTCTCTTTTCCACTCTGTCAAAGACTATCACATAACCTATTTTTCCCCACAGAAAACTAGATGTTTGAACCTTCAATTCCTGATAGAGAGGAAAAACATTAAATTAAATTTAAATATCAAGAAACATCCATTTCCACATCTTGTTATGCCCTTCTTCTCTATTATTCATTTTATTTCCCTGCTTTTCTTCCCTTCCACAATCCTTCACCTCCCAGCACCTGCATTACACGTTCTTTTATGCCTAATCATTTCCTGTTCATCCCTTCAGTTTATGCTTTTCTCTGTTTTTCAGTGAACGTGGCAGGTTACTACCAGATTTTATTCCGTCTGCAAACAGCCTACCACATCTTAGGTGATAAACAAATAACATAGCAATTAAAATTCAGCAAGGTAAAATTAGCGAGGTGGTGCTGACATTTTTTTGTTTGTTTCTTCTCCTCTCTCATCAGCTACTGACATTTAGAAAAACCTAACCAACTCTAATAAACAAAAAAATTTTATCCTGATTTCCTAAGAAAGTAAGACTTATATGACCACAACCTGTCAATCAGTCCTCTCCTGAGAACTTCTGAACCTGTAAATCAATATCAAATACATAATATCGAGATAGTAAGAGCCCACAACTTTCACAGAAATTATCAGTGATGGAGCAAAGAGAAAGTAAAATCAGCAGCTGCAGTAAAGGAAAGGGGAATATATATTATAATATATATTATATATTATAAGGGGACCTTAATCACTGTGGGACCAGCAGCCAGCTGGCCAGCCAGCAGAGGAGTTTGGGACACCCATCAATACACGCCTAGCTTGCAACTAGCCAAAGCACATGCTGGTGCAGGCCTAGTCATACAGATACAGAGAGGGGGCTGGAAGCACTAGTGGGAGAATGGTACAAGGAAAATTTGTAAAAAGTCAGGCTTCATTAGTTTCTCTGCTTACAGTGAAAGGATCAGAGTTTTAGTCTCTGTTCATTTCATCTAACTGCAATCCACTGTTTATTTCATCTTTTCTGGGATCAGAACATTGTTCATTGTAAAAAATATAACACGATGCACTAGTATCTATAATACAGAGCAAGCATTTTCTTGTTTGTTCCCTCCGTTCAGAGAAGAAACAACATGCTCTCTACCTTTTCTGAATTATACTGGGATTTGCAGTCACCAGCTGGGTTTTGGATCCAACATCTCTGCTGTATTCACTGGACAGAGGAGGAAGGTTGCACCTGCACACAGAAAGACATTCAAGATTTTAAATGACACTCAGGATTGACAGGCTTCAGCCTCAGGCTTTTTTAAGTCTAAATTTGCAGTTTTCATAAAAAGCAAGCTGACAGACAACATAGAAGTACTAAATAAATACTGGACTAAGCTATGGATGGTCCCTACTTCACCACATCTATAAGCACAATAGGACATTTTTGTACTAGATTGTGGAGAAATACATGAATAAACCCTTTTGTTGAGATGATCCTACATAACTATGAAGCAAAAAAGAAACCGCAGACTTGGCATTTCTGCCAGGTTGTTAGGCTGACAGGCTGTGGAAGTAAGAGAGCATTATTGTAAAATGCAATAACTTCTCTCAAATTCCTTTAAAGTTCTGTTTTTCACTCTGTTTCATCTTGTAAACTAGTATCAGGATCCAGTAGGTTATCACCCTGTAGTATGAGAAGCATTATGTATGTTCCTGCAAGCAATGGTCTACTCGAATATTTAACATTATATCGTGGGGTGTCTTCAGTGCACCACAATTTACCAAGAAACATAGAGAAAAAATTTAAAGCGGCTCTTTAAATCTCTGTATTTCAGCTCCTCTCACAGTCTTGTTCTGGCGGGCAAGGTGATAACGTTAAAAAGACAAAGTGACTGGGCAAATCTACTCTGGAAAGTAGAGACAAGACTCAGAAAACCAGAAGTAGAGAGAAACTTCCATAAAATGAACAGGCCTAAATGCTCCATAGTAAATACTTAGGAGAAGGAGCAAGGAGTGGTAGATAATGTCCAAAATACATTCAAACAGTATCCAAACCCATGCACTGCTACAGCAATTAAAGTCAGGAGACATCTTTATATAGAAATTGCACCAAAAATGAGTGTCAAAACAATATTTTTCATGCCAAATCTGACCAGCTTTTTAAATCAAAGATATGAAAAAAATACTTCTAATGCTTAAAAAGCAAAAATGAATTTTCAGAGAAAAGCTGATGTTCAGAATTTTTCCACTAGAAAAAGGTAGATCTGTTTGGGGGTTTTTGCAAAAAATGTTTTTTCGGCTCAACCATAACCTCCAATTTTTAAGTACAAACACCAAATCAAAAAAAACCTGTATTATCCAACCAGCTTTGCCTGCAATGATTTCACTCTTTTTCTACAGCGCGCTTAGAAAAACGCAGCCCGGAGAATTAGAGCATGACATAAGGACAGATGAGGGGCACACTCAGGTGCAAGCTCCTGCCTTTTTCTGCTCCCACCGAGAGCACGCACTCAGCAAAAGGCGCCGTCCAAGCCCCTGCTTGCTTGGAACTGTGCAGACGACTACACTCAACCCACCGACTACGAGGCCCTTGGCATTCAAATAGGGCAGGCAGCAGCGCAGAGAGCGGTTATTTCATATTCCGTACTTCTCCTCCTGTTACCAGGGCGACACAGGTTTCTTTGCTGCAAGTCTCACTCCCGTGCAAACGCACGTCATTTTTCTCACCAGGTTCTCCACTAAACTCTCTTTAGCCGCTCCTCTCTGAGCCTTCAGAGGCTGGCTAGCTCTCTAAGCCAACACTGTTGCATACATCTTCCAGGGTCAGTAACAAAACTCTCGAGTCCAGCAACGAGTTCTGGAGAAGGAGAATAGGAGCTCATCCTATTTCTTTTCTATGTCTTATTCAAATGGCACAAGGCCCCTTTCCTGCACCAGTAAGGAGCGGGAAAGCGAGCTCCAGTTCAGGTTCTATGGTGTTCTCCAGGGCTCCTGCTCTTGCGTTGGCTGCCGTATACTTCCACCGTGCTGTGAAAATCAGTCTCCTAACACGGAAAGCCATTACTTGCTTAGCAGTTGCTGTCTGTGACAGTACTTTCACTAGCTCGTTGAGTGAACAGTTCCACAGGGTGTAGCAAATGAGCTTTTTAAAGCCGGACTGCCCCTCTCCAAACTATTGTTTTGTGCAATGGCAGTGCCTGGAGAGGGCACTAGTGTGCACCTAATATACTCCCTGCAATTTTTGTTAATGCAAAACACCCCACATTCCCTAAGAAAAAAACAGAATGGTGCAAATTTGCATGGATTTGCATACAGTCAAATACCAGCCATCAAAACCATATTCTTAAATTCACGTCCAAATGCCAAAAAAATGCCAAGAGAAGGACAGCAAAGTGGTTTGTCTACGGAACACAGATGAACTCACTCGTGTTCACTAAGAAAAATAAAATTTCCATGAAAACTTTCTCCTTGTCATGACTGTATTTGTTAAGACATGCATAAAAGTACTGAGATCTCAGTTGGGGAACAGCTTCTAGTTTAGCCTACCACAATTTAAGAGAAGCTAGACAACTTAAAATGAAGCCTGACAATAGGAATCAAAATAAGAGGTTTCAGAAAATACAATCATTGAAGAAACAGTAGAAATATAAGGAAAGTTTAATTCTCAGAAAGAAAGAACAATAAAAATCTTAAAAAGTGAGAAAGGTTTTCATTAAAAGAAAAAAACAAAATAAAATAAGCAGTGATTAGTTGTTCCCCACATCTGTGCTGGGTAGCATACAAATTAATCAGATTAATACTATTTAGAAAGGTTGTCGAATTTCTCTCAGTGGCAGTTTTCAATGGCAGGTGAAACATCTGTGAGGCAAGATATTTATATAGTTGACTTGCCTCAGAGCAGAGAGGTAGAATAGATGACCTCCACCAGTCTACAACTTTATGGTCTCTGATTTGAATAAACACAAACTCACAGGGCAAGCTTCTAAGAAGCCATTTTTGATTGACGCTTACTTAAAAGTAATGTGAAGAACAAGATCTCGCACTAGTTTTCACCATCTGAACTTCTGAAAAATGAAATTTCTTTCACAAACTAGTCTTAGATGCGTTATTTAAACACATCGAATTCGTTTCATCAGTAAATTTCATTCCCAGCTTGTTCTTCATGAAATATTAAGAAACGCCCTAAGTATCCAGCAGGGAAACCAGCTGGTCAAGGAACCTCTTGGCCTTCCAGATAATTTTCTTAAGCTGCTCAGCTGAGTGCCGAGCCTTATGCAGGTGAGAAACACACTAAGAAGCAAAAGAGCCATTCTAAGGAACATGTATTTTTAATTATCTTACTCTTGGCTCCACACACTTACTCCTCAGTACCAGAACGTGTGGGAAAGAAGGAAGTACCAGGACAACATTTAAGTTCTCTCCTTGCTCAGTCTTGAACTTTAGATGGGGGAAAAATCATTAATGAACACAGCAGTCTATGTGCACCTTTTTTACATCTGAGACCTTTCAGCTCAAAAGGGAGCAACAACTGCAAGGGTAACTGAGAGGAAACTTCCATCTTCACAAGGCAGCAACGGCTCTTTTGGGTTTTGGTCTAGAGAGAAGTCCATGTCCCACAGATAAAGAGAAAACAGGCAATTTGGCTGGGCAATGGCATATTCATTTGGTAGATGTTAGGCAATTATCTGTTTTGGACTATATTATGCATATATGGTAAACACACAGTTTAATCTGCTTTGGCTGGAAGTAAAACGGACTAATCTGAATTTTTAATGTGCATTTCCCAACGTTCATTTTTATTCCTTTGTAGCATCTGTGCCAGTATCAAGACAATAACTACATATGGCAACAGAAGCAATGTTTCTCTGGACAACCCCCAAAGCAGCACCATATTTATCAACCCCAGCTTTGCCTGGGCTAGTACAACTACATAGCACGGCACAGCATGACTAAAAGGTAACAGCTTGGCTTCTTCAAACCAGGCTAGCCACATCAGGATAGTGAGCTACCCACACCTGCCACTAGTCAACTCAAACATAATGACAGGCTGCTTCCAGTTTTGAAACAAGCTCGATACTGAACAGCTCGGAGACCTCACCCTCAAATCCCCCCGCACTGTTTTACAGTGGAGAAAAGGAATATCTGCAAAACAAGGCCAAACCAGGAAAGGTGACTGGGAAAAGGAGAGAAGTGTAAGGCACAGGAAAATTTCTTCACAAACTAATGCAAGAAAATGGGGCTCTCTGTTTCCCACTCTTTTGTCAAAATAAAGACAAAAACATCTCTTAGGGTTTAGTACCCAAATTTCTCTCTTAAAATAAGTATTTGCAGAAAGGGCAAATCAAAAATGTTGCTTAAAACTGAGGATTACAAACCTGAAAAAGGACCAGGAGTCAGGAGAACAGCCTATTATAACCACTAATATATATATCACGTGGCCAAGCACCTTTTTCATTCCATATGTAGTGTGCTATGCCTTAGGAATTGAAAACTGCTGCTCTTTTAACTCGTGTGCTGGTACAACTGTGTTTGGAGATGATGTTCAGAACAGGATGAGTTTAAACTCATTAATTAACCTTAGTGATTACAATATTTCAGGGAAGATGGCTGCAATTTTATGACTGAGCTTATGGAAACATACTTAAGTGAAATCAGAAACAATGTGAATGGAAGAAAAGAGCAATGGCAAAAACTGACATGGTATTTTACATTGCAGAAATACTTTAACGAGAATACTTTAACGATATCACACACATTTCTTAAGAGCAAATGAAAGATGCAACGCAAGTCATTATTGTACTTTTTCACTCTCAGCTCTCAGATTATAGAAATCAGATTTAGACAAGATCTACTAAGTCCTATCTTCCACATGCCATAAAAATATTTTCTCCCAGTGGTATATTAGCTTCTACTCAAAAGAACTGAAACATTTTCCATAAATACGACTGCATATGATTAATACAATACAGTCTGCAGACAGCTATTGAGATTTTGCAGGATTCTCCCTATTGCTCCTTTCCAATTCAAAGTAAGTTCTATATAGATGATAGCTGGTTTTTGCTCCCTGGAGAGGAAAATGATTTTTCTGATCAAGCTAAAAGAGCTGCTTAAAAGAAAAAGCAAAAAAGTTTCTATTGTTTTTGTAAATGGTTGCCCCTACGGTATTGCAATTTTCCACTGCATCTAGATAACATTACCACGATCTACCCTGCAGTTTCTTATTCTTAGTCTCCAGAACACCTAAGGAGTTTCACAGTAACGGCAATCAGCTCACTGAGTCCCTCCTTCTGTGCCTTACATCTTCCCTTCACTGCATGTTTTAAGTATATGTTTCCTTTGCCTTCAGTTTGCTGTATTTCTTTGCTTTTAGACTGAGGTCATCTTTGGTCTTCAAGATGTAAATCAGAAATCATGGTAAAGCTGTTTGCTTTTGAGCATTGTATGGTTTTACAATAAGCTCTCAAAATCTAATAAGGGGACTTTCTGAAGTGGTAGTTAATTCTGCATCCATTTCAAAGTCTTATGAACCTCCATTTTTCAACTTTTTGGGAGCCTCCTCCTATCTTCTCCCCCAGAATGTTTTTCTTGTTCATGTCGAACAAAAAGGAATTAATATTCTGTTTTTCTTCCTTAAAGAATGCAGATCTGAAAAGTGCCAAATTCAGTCAAGAAAGCATTATCTGGCTCAACATGCTACTTGACACATTCCAATAAGATCAAAATTGCAAAGGTGAAAGGGAATGTGGGGAATTCAAAGGAAGCAGTATTAAGGAAAAAGTTCAGCCTTTCCTCAGTCAGTCAGAAATTATCTTGAGGGAAGAAACACATGGGAACATTTTAGCTTTTTCTAACTTACTTCTTAAGTCTTGGCCTATAAATCAGTACCTCCTCCTCCTGAGTTCAATGGGTGTCAGATGATGGTATTTAGTGTTGTAGAGGGCAGAGCACACCCCAGGACGAGACCCTGTCTAATACTGCGTAATTAAAAAGAAAAGCAGCTTTCAGTTCCCTTTCCCTGACATTATACAGTCTGGCACAACCTTAATGCATCCATCTGCAGATTTCCCCACAACACACACATTTGCAGAAGCCAGTTAAAATTGTCCTTATTGTCTTTCCTCCCACTTTTACCCAAATCACTTGTGTAAAGCATCCTGCAAAGGCCAAAAAAAAAAAAAAAGAAGAAGGCAAATTATAACTGATTATTCACAACTGAATAGCTATGAAAAGTGAGAGACTCAGCAGGGGGAAGGGACAGTGTGTCATTGAGGTTTCTGTCTTACCGCATGACAAAATCTGCTTGATCTATTTGTTTGCCACAGCCACTCTTTTTCAGAATCCCACCGTTTCCCACCACGGAGCATTTCTTCAATGGCAGCTGCAAGGGTGTAGCCTAGCAACAGAAAACAAGGGCGGTTTTTACCGAGGAGAACACATACAATCTTTGTAACAGCCGCTCCTGGAGAACCTAGGGGGCTGGCAGGGCTCAACGTGACAGAAGAAAAGGGAGATTTAGGAGCTAGAAAAAAAAGCAGAGAAATTAGCCGATATGCAGAAACAGGACCGTTCTTACCCCCACTCCCCAAACCAGAACGCAACAAATAGGTAAGGCAAAGATAACGATATTTCTGTAGAAGCAAAACTGCGCAGTTATAACGTCCTCATGCACGTACTGACCAAGATACGCAGTAAGAATGTACTTTCTCTTCACGTTGCAAGGACAAAAAAGAAAAAACAAAAAAGACTGGAAGAAAAAACCCCATGAAAGTCACCTTCCTGAGCTCACATACAGAAGACAGCTCCGGGGAAGGCAGGCAGGCGCAAGGAACAATACAATCACAGTAGGTTACGGGGAGTCAGGAGTCACCCTGGCTCTTTACGGTTCTGTCTCCAGGACTGGTCACTCAGAAGCCTTAGAGAAAGATATTCAGAGCTTGATAGCAGCTGTCCAGATGTAGCATAAATTAAAATAAATAGGAGCATTTTAACTGTATAGGAGCCATTGTAGTAGTTTAGCAGGGCATCAACGTGCAAGGTCAAATTGCCATGCCATCGGGGGTCAATACTGCATCAAACACAGTAATATATTAGATTTGTATAATCTTCTTCATTCCAGAGGATCTCAAAATGACATTTTCCTGTCAGCCCCTGAGTTGTTCACCTATAGTAAGGTTGGGACAGTAATTTAAACAGCACACAGGAGTCCCATACATCACTGCAGCCAAGCACGTTAATAACAAGAAAATAAAAATAAAAGAAAGTGAAAAGGCATGGAAATTCAGAGTAATGTGATATTGTTATCAGAATGGAAGCTGTCTACGATACCAGGGTTAATATTCTCCTCCTGCAAAATTTGTGCAGGGATTTTTTCATTTATCAAACCTGCCAAGACTGACTTTGCAGTAGCGACAGAAGTTAACCGTGTCAGCCTACGAGAACGCAAATGCCACAGTGGCAGGCTGCAGCATCACAAAACAGTTATTCTCTCCTGGAGGACAAGTTAGAAAGGCAGCAACACTTATCCTCACTTAAATATTGCAAGACATGTACAGAGCAACATCTAACATTACATAATGTATTCACCAGACATCACAACAGTGTATATGGTCCAGAAAACAGACCCAGTGTTACTGCATAAACTCCATATTTGGTAGGACTTTTTTGTTATAACATCACATTTCTTTTCTTCCTTACGCTCAGCTGGGTTTTGTTTTTATTTCTTTCCTCAGCAAACTGGGTTCTATTCAGCTAGTATAAAACCACAACCTGCTTTCTAATGAAATGAATTAAACCATTTTGCATATCTTAATCCGGGATTAGCATACACTAAAGCAGAAATATCAGGGTTTTTTCAGTTTCCTGAGGCCCAGCTACTATTAGGAACCCAATGACAGCACCGCGGAGCAATACTGAGTATGCAGCTGCATTCTTGGTCTGCATCTGCCTTCTCAAGAACATTTTTTAATGTACACGTTTCTTGAACTAGGACCATATCTTGAAATTCAAAGGATATTTCAGAGGTGACCCTGACCAAATGAGAGCCCATAGGCTCACTAAGGGACAAAAAAATGGGAGGAAATGTAGAAGAGAAATAAATTTTATAAATAACTGTGCTTTTCTTATTCAAGGTATCTCAGAGCCCCTTCCACAACAGCTAGTTATGTGAAGACAAGACTGTGACAAATCCCAGACAAAGGCAGCAGCCATTAACTCTTGTATTTAAGAACTGTGGACACTCTGTCATGCAACTCCTGTGGCTTTGGTACATGTTCAATGGCTTTAGTCCCCCAAAATAAACATTTAGGATTTACTAAATGATTAAAAATTCTGTAGGCTGAGGACAACCTTAGACGTTACTTGAAATGACTGCTGTCCTTCAGGGGAGAGCTATCTCCTCTTGTGCTTAAAGATGATAATATTAGTTTCTATTTGCATACAAATACCTTTACTTCCAAAAGCACATGAAGCTTTGAAACTCCTGCCCTTGGGAGAATCCCAAGGGAGGAGCCCAATTCGAGAGAAGGATAAGATCACGGCTGCTAGGGTGATTTAGGGGAGCCAAAGGAAGGGATAAGGGGCAGAAGAAAATACTGCTCTAGCTATCCCTCTGCCTAACCTGCCAAGAAGCCCACTCACACCATGGAGGTAGGAGAAGAGCCAGGCTGAACATAGTTCTCTCTGAAAACCCTCCATGCCCACAAAGGCCCACGCTTTAGCCACCCCACGCAAAGTACTGAAAATTCTGGACACTACACAGAGACCAGACAGAGTTTACAGGCCCTTGTTTAGCTCAAAGTGTTCAACGGATGCAGCTTCCAGAAGGCCATACTTAAAACAAGCTTTGTACAGACATTATGCAAAACATCTCATTCCAGGACCGTTACATTGGGGGAGGCTGTAAAGAGCTAAGGACTAAGCATCCCTGCTGCTTGGAGGTATTTCAGCTGCTTTTAGCTTAATGAAGAGCAATTGCTTAAGATGCCCTAGAGAAACCTGCATGTGTTATCTTACACATGACTTTTCTTCAAATATTTAAATTACAGGTCTGTGTTATTGCTCAATCTGCCAGGGCCTTCCAGGAACTCTGCTTTGAGCTTGTTTGTGCAATCAAACCGCCCAGTCATACACAAATCACACCAGTCCTAAACTCGAGCGCTGCCCATAAGCAAAAATGAAACACATGGCTCCTTTGTCTCTCTGTAAAAGGCAAGGCTATTTTTAAACCAGCTTCTGAGGAACAGGCTACTGGGCTTTGAACCCATTAGGACATCACCATCCTGTAACCTAGTTGGCAGCAGCAGCTCCGACCACTGCCAGATGCTGGTGTGGAGGGCGTGGAAGATCCTTCCATGACTTCTACAGTTGAAGGACACTCATGAGATGAAGAGCATGGACAACAGCACTCATAGGCTTTTCAAGACTAAAATGCTGTGGGCCTCACCCATTAACTCTGTGATTTCCCATAAGCACTCAGTTCATTGCTTCCTTTGGACTATCCATAACATGAGGTGTAGATAGCTTAAGCAAAACATAACTAACCAGAAGGAAGCTCCATCTCTAACAGGCAGTGGGGCTACCTGGCTCATCGCTCTCTTTCCATACCACTACCGCATCCCCTTGCTGCTCCTACCGCTGACGTGTCAGGGAGCAGGTATGTCTCCACGCAGCTTTCTGACCACTCCTCCTTTTCGCCGTTTCTGTTACCAGGAGCTCTGCATGTCCCGGGGGATACTTAGAGTGCCCAGCAAGCAGCAACACAGAATTATGCACTTCAGTCTGTGCACCTAAGGTTGAACTTAATATCAAATTTATTGTCCAAAGTTGGAGGCTGTCATTCTCTTTCTAAAGGTGGGAAACACTGAAGATGGATATCATTTGTTTTTTAGCTTGTGTCAAGTGATCTTTTGCCATCTTCATTGTGTGAGTGATCTGTTTTGATTTTTTGAATTTTATATTGGGGTTGAAGAGCCAGAACAATAACACAACTCACTTGGGAATATAAGGTTAAATAATTTTTACTTTTTTGTAAAATAATCTTGGGCATTACTTGTAATTTCAGGAGGAGACCACTTTCAGTCAAAAATGTCATTTTTTTTTAAAGTGATGGTGCTGTTTAGAGAGAATGCTATAGAGTAAAATCAAGTTTTCTTGTAGGCTCATATTACTGACAAAACATGTTTCACAGGACTTGAAAAACCTTTTAACGCTTCCCTTCTTTATCTTCCAGAGTATAACTCTTTCCTAAGCAAATTTTCAGTTCTTAGTTAACAGGATATAATAGGGACCCGACTGTCATTTATGTTAAATGATTACAATAAGCTCAGTTGTTTTTCTTCTTAGAATTGGAAAGTGGCCTGACTAATGCTTGCTTTGGAAGGTAAACTGTAACAAAAGTATTTCTATTAATATTAGTTTCCTGAAACTGTGTGTCATTTTGTTAACACATTTGTTATTCTCTTCATTGATAAAATTTTACTGAACAGCCAGAGTCTTGTGGGTGGACTAGAAAAATAGTACAGCATCAGTTTATCTAGCTTAATAGAGAAAACGTAAAAATAAGTGACTGACCCACACCTATTTGGAAGCAGTCATTAAAACAGAATTTGCTAACACTGTTAACTAAAAAAAAAGTCACATATTTGGAGTAAGCCGGATGAATTCCCTGTAAACGTAAGTTTAAAAAAAAAAAAAAAAAAGATGATTTTTTTAAAAAGTTATTGCTTCAAACAAAACTAAAACAGAAAGGCCCCATTTTTGTCTTATTTTCCCTGATTCAAAACTATGAAACTCCACTGACAATCAGTGAAGATGTTCTGGTTCATATTTATGTAAATGGGAAAAGAACCTCCACATCCCCCTATGAATTCAATGACAACTCAGTACACAAAGCAATAGATTAAAGACTCCCAATTGAATATGGGATTAATTTAACAAAGCATCTATCCAGCAATTCACTGATTAGTTTCATCGTTCATCTAAGCAGAAATAAATCATTGTCATCAGTTTAAAGAACATTACACAGTACTAACAAAATATAATTTATTTCAGATAATGCTATTCTAACTCACTTTGAGTTCATTGTTAGGTTGTTAATGAATTAATTTTTGCCCACTCACTGCCAAAGACTTTAATCAGCAACCAAATCCTTACTGGGAAAACAAGGAAAAATGCAGTATTCAGCCTCTGATTTAACGCTGAAGATGTCAAAAACATTGAAAATACTGGGAGAATGAATTACACTAAAATGGCTTTTAAATAAGCATTTCTGAATTTGCAAAGAATGCTGTGTTTTTGCTGTTCCTTTTGAGAGGAGAGCATCCTCATGGAAATAACACAGTCCCACTCTTTTCCCAAGGATCCAGTGAAATCCCAAGAGTTAACCAGAATCACATT